TTTCTTTCTTTCTTTCTTTCTTTCTTTCTTTCTTTCTTTCTTTCTTCCTTCCTTCCTTCCTTCCTTCCTTCCTTCCTTCCTTCCTTCCTGGGTGCTGAGAAAAAAGCATTTTGAAGCAAGGGGGGGGGAGATCAGCTGTGCCGCATGATTTAGATTAGCTAGAAAGCAAGAAATTCAATGATTTCCATATTTCTAGCTAATCTAAATCGCACAGCGCAGCTGATCATTGCCCTGCGTATTGTCTGCAATTGTTTTTACTACCGGTTCAGCTGAACCGGTAGTATTTTTTACTACTGGTTCGGCTGTGAACCGGGCCGAATTGGTAGAATACCACCACTGCACCAGAAGTTTTGGATGCTGCATCACTGGAGGCTTTGAAGAAGAGATTGGACAACCTTCTTCTTGTGCCATATCCGTCCTTGGACGATGGCAATCAGGTTGGCGATCCTATTTTTCTTATCAACAGCCGCGCACACACACAAAAAAAGTGTCCAAACCAGTCCCTTAGATTTTTGAAGCCAAGATGTTATTTTGCCTGGAGGACCTCATTTGCCTTCAATCGCTACTTGGGGAATTAAGGGAAGGATGCCGTATTTTTCCGGGTGTCCACTGATGATGTTACATAAGTGGGGCCACCAAGCGTTTGCAAGGACAATCCCCTGTCTGAAATGCTACTAATGTTTCTGGCTTGAGCAGAAGGTTGGATTAGAAGCAGAGGTGGGATGCAAATATGTTTACTGCCAGTTTTGTGGGCATGGCTAGGTGGAAGTGGCTAGGTGGGGTTGGCCATGTGACTGGATCAGTGTGGCAGCTGCTGCTTCTCCTTCTCCTCCTCCTTCTTTTTGTGTAGCACACGCACACACACCCCGTGCTCCATTTTTTAGCCTCAGGGAAGCTCTTGGATGAAGCAGTAAGACAGCGAGGGGGATCCTGGCACAGCTGATCATCGGAACAGCTGATTGTTGGGAAGAAAACAGCTGATTATTGGGAAGAAAACAGCTGATTGTTGGGAAGAAAACAGCTGATTGTTGGGAAGAAAACAGCTGCTTGTTGGGAAGAAAACAGCTGCTTGTTGGGAAGAAAACAGCTGATTGTTGGGAATTAAAAAAAGAAACACTGGCCGAACTTTTTTAACTACTGGTTCAGCAGAACGGTAGCATTTTTTGCTACCAGTAGAATCCCACCACTGACTACGAGGCCTCCAAGGTCCCTTCCAACTCTGATATTTCTGCCTTCCTTTCTGTATTCCTTGTTCTAGAACATGTCACAGAATATTGGAAGAGGGACGAATTCTTCGGCTATCAATTCTTACACGGGTTGAACCCAAGCATCATCCAGTTATGTACCCAGATCCCGTCTAATTTTCCCGTGACCCAAACAATGGTCGCTGGATTGTTGGGTGACTCCACCACCCTGCAGGAGGAGCTAAATGTAAGGAAGGTGGCATTTCATGCTTTCAGGGGACCTTCTTGGGAGACAAACACACACACAGAGATACACACACACACACACACACACACACACACACACACACACACACACACCCTCCCTGGAAAGGAAGCCCTACTTCTCCTCACTTCCATGTCTGAGTTTCTTCTTCTTGGTTCTCTCCAGAAGCAAAGGATCTTCCTGGTGGACTACAAGATCTTGGAAGGCCTTTCTGCCGGACTGAATAATGGACGTCTTCAGCATATAGCAGCTCCATTGTGTTTGCTACACTTGTCCTCTGAAGGACATCTCATGCCTCTGGCCATCCAGGTATGGCATCTCTTCATTCATTCATTCATTCATTTGTTCATTCATTCATTCATTCAGTCAGTCAGTCAGTCATCCATCCATCCATCCATCCAGTCATCCATCCAGTCATTCAATCATCCATCCGTCCGT